CAAATATAATTGTGCAAAGTTTTATTTAAATATTTTAGCATTTTAAAAAAGTAAATCAGAGCTAAAAAAGTGCAAAATTGCAGGCAAATTTGCCTGCGTTGGTCTACATATTAAGGGATAAAAATGGATAGGGAGTCACAAAAGATGATAATAAGGCATTTGAATACTATAAAAAATCAGCAGAGATGGGAGAACCTGATGGAATGTATTATGTTGGTGAATATTACCGAAAAGGAGTTGTTGTTGAAAGGATATAGATATTGCTTTCGAATGGTATTTAAAATCTGCTATCACTGAAGAAGCTAATACTACTGCCAAAAAACTCAAATTTTTTCATTGGATGGTATATAATAAATTCGAAAATATCAAAGAAATAGGTAAAAAAGCATTTTCTACTGTTTTTAAAACAAAATATTTAAATCAATATAGGACATATGAAGAAGTAGCAATCAAGGTCGTTAAAGATTCTAATAAGAATAAAGATCCATTCTTAAAAGAGATACTTTTTAATATTTATTTTTTATTTAAATAATTTATTTTGTTTTTTAGTTAAAAGCTTGCCATAGCTTAGGACAATATCTAGGAATATCAAGAGACGAAAAAACAGACGATTATATTTTAGTAACGAGTTATGCAAAATATGGATCATTAAGCAAAAATCTTGCTGATATTTTTAAGTTCAAATGGAAAATTAAATTAAAGATTTTATGATATTATATCTACCAGTAATTTTGATCGTATTCATGATAATAAATATTTACATCGAGATTTATATCCGGGAAATATCTTGTTAAAAGAAGATTACAAAGCATATATTACTGATCTAGGTTTATCAAAACCACTTGATGAGAAAAACAAGATCATATTCATGGTGTATTGCCTTACGTTGCTCCAGAACTTTCTCAAAGAAAACTGTACACTCGAGCAACAGATATTTATTCATTTGGAATCGTCATGATAGAAATGAAAACTAGACAGAGACCTTTTGATAGTCATAAATTTGATATAGATCTTGTGATTGATTTGTAAAGGATTGTGACTAAAATTTGAAATTGGAACACCTAATTATTATGTTGAATTAGCAAACCGATGCATGGGTTCAAAACCAGAAAAACGGCTAACTACTGATGAAATTGTTACTACATTAAATGAATGGTTGCAAATTTGAATAAAAATGAATGGTTTAAAATTTTGAATAAAAATTCAGAAAATGAAATTAAAAAGCAGTTTTCAGAAAGTGATAATATTAACAAAAATTTTACAATAATTAAAGAAGAACTAAAATATATATACATTAGCAAACCATTTAACACATTGGAAATTAGTGAAAGATTATCAAAACTAAATCTTAGTAAATCTGCTGGTATAGAAATTCCTAATAGTATTTGATTTTTTGCTCTTTTAAATATTTTTTAAGTATTATAGAATAAATTATATAATTTGAATATTTTTTTTAAGTATTATCCCTTAAACTGTAGACAATTCCAGACAAATTTGCCTGGAAATTGCCATAAATTTGTTTATAATTTACTTTTTTTAAAATTTAAAATATTTAAATAAAAATTTTTTTGATAATATTTGAAATAAGGATTATATTATAGTAGTATTTAATTTTATATTATAAGAAAAAAGTTTGGGCTGCTTATAAGCTAAAAACAAATAAATTTAAAAAAAATTTTAACCAAAAAAATTATTTACAAATTTTTGACAAGCTCTTTAGAATTAGTTTATACCTATAGTTCTTAATACAATATTGTAGTTTATATAAAGAATAATAACTTTTATTATTATATCTTTGATGATTTATTAATAAAAATTAAGACTTGTATTAGAAGCAAATATATATATTTTT